AAAGTCATCACGTTTATCATAATGCTTGGTTGTTAGATTATCATTAACGTCTTTTTCTATTAAAATATTCAAATATGAAACAGATGTGTCAGACTCTGTGGTATCTTTTATCTCAAGCTCACCGGGATATATCGTATCGACATAAGAATGGACATAATTATCGTTAATTGACAATACGTCGTCGATATATCTAAATGTCGAGTTGAAGGCCACAGCAAGTGTTTTCTTCTTTTCACGTATAAGATTTTGGACAAATTCTGCTTCATATGAATACAAAAAAGGTCGCTAATAACGGGGCGCAATTGGTACCCATAGAAATTCCAATAGATCGTCGGAAGACCTGGTCTCCAAAAACCACATAGATATTCTCAATCAGAAACCCAAGCATCTTTTTAATGTCAACTTCAGAGTACTTGTGTGTACAATCAGAATGTTTTTAAACAAAATAATTTTGCAACTGACCAGTGACAAGGTAAGTAAATTTACGAGTTCCATTTTTATTGAAAAAGCAACTGACTTTAATTTATCGATATTATATCAATCCAAGAAAAGTTTTAAACTGACCACGAGAGATCAGTTTTTGTTCAACACGCCAAGCATGATCCAAGATTTCTAATCCATTTCAACATCTACCATTGCCATGTCACTTATATTTTTGTAGACAACAAATTTTAAAAAATCTTATAAAATACAACATTGATAACAAACCTTTACCAGTGTTATTTTGTGGATCCTTTGGGTATACTTTAAATAAGCTACAGTTATAATCAGCTTTCCTATTGACGTCAATATTGTGTCATCAAATGCCAAACCTGTTAGATTTTTCCTGATAAATATGTCCACTTCTATATATTTTCCCTACTTTTGTATTTTCATATTTCTATTGTGTAGAGGATTTGTATTATCCCTGTAAGTGATGTTATACCCTAAATCAGATAATTATGTTGTCACAGAAACGCTGATTGGAATTGTGACACCCTACTCTAAAAATATTTTTGTTTAAGATACATGTATAGAAATTTCAAATTTTTTACAGGGATAAGTCAAAACATCATTATTTTATTTGTTATCAAAATGATATTCGTACGAAATAACCAAAAACTAAATATAAATATGCTTGGCTTTGCCTTTTTACATTAAATCAGTAAACTATATCTACATGGTTATACTACCATTTAATCGATTAGTCATTATTAATCATTTACTTCTGCAAATTGATTTGTTCAGCACTGCAAAGCTTCTTGGACACTACCTTCCTACATGTATACATATTCTCATAATATTATCGTTATATATCCTTTTACCATACAGCTTTTGTAATTATTTCAAACATATTTCAAAGTGTTATTAAGACTATAATCATATTTGGGTTTCTTTAGCTCATAATGTTTCACTTTAATTGATTTACTCGAGGTGAGTTACTATTATTTGGTAAAGACAAACTTGTTCTAATTGTTGTTTTGGCAACTCCCATATTGTAATACATGCATTAATTTATTTATTTGTAACATAGATTCTTCCTTCATCGGGTGTAATTTTGGACTTCCAGGATTAACCCTAATGAATGATATCCAATCTTCAGAATTTTAAATGTCATTGTTGCCAGAAAATTCTTATTTTTTTCTGGTGATTAAGTAGTCATGAAAATGTCGATGAATACTGGCAATGTTGTGAAAAATTACATGTGGATAACCAAAATAACATATAATTCTTTGTTTTAACAGGAAAGTAACGCCTTGAAATATAATCTAAAATTAATTGCACGAATGTTGCTTCAATGTGTCATTCTCATGTAATATGAAACTTGATGTAAAGTATTACTGGATGTTGTTTAACAATATCTTTTTTTAAAATAAACTAGAGAAAATAAGGAAATGGAATAAATCAGGTTCACAAGTCATTTTAAAGGAGTGCAGAAGATGCGCAAAATAATGAAATGGCTTTAATACGCCATTTTTCTCCTTTAATGAGACAGTATTCCCTCTAAGCTCCAGTCAATGAATGTTACTCTGTTCATTAAATCATAATTTATGTGTTTTATATTATACTTTTTTATTCAGTAATTAAAATTAGTTATTGATATTGAAGAGAGAGAGAGAGAGAGAAAGAGAGAGATTTTGATTGAAAACTGAAATCGCAGTCAGTACTCTTTGTCTTAAATCATATTTTACACAGTATCAATATACTGAATATAAAATATATTGAATGTGACCAGGAACCTGTTTGGAATAAATGTCGCGAACTTGTAAGAATCAATGTCATGAGAACTTGTGAGAATCAATGTCATGGTCTAAAGACGATAATGTGAATCACCTTTTTATTAGCACTATCTTATTGTCCAGGGTTTCAAAAGTTGTCATTTTCTATATGTAAAGAGGATTTTTTGAAAAATTTGCAACTTGACAAGTTGCAGAAGTTTTTGTAAAATTTGCAACTTGTCATTTTTGTACATTTTTGCAGAATTATTCGAAATTCTTTGTTAAATTTTGCTTGTCTATGCAAGGTCCCGCAAACTCGGGGAGTTATAACTTTCACAAACTTGAGCACATACTACAAGCTGGTGCTTGCACATAAATTTGAGGAATCGAACGTCCGTTGTTCCTCAGTAAAAATGCTTTTTAAACAAAAAAAATCGTGTTCATCACCATGTAAAACTATCACCTCTAACCTCAGGTCCACATATCCTTGCTCCATGAACCTTGAAAACTCAGTAATTCAAATAAACACGGAACTTCATTACATGGAGCTGCAGGAGAGAGACATTCGGTTAGCTGTAGCTTCTTCGTCGTATAATCTTTATGTACACCTATATATCTGTTCAACATTATATATGTTGCTTCCATTTTCATATGATAAGCTTAGAAATTAAAGACATCCTGAATAAAAAATATAAAATTAAAGGAAACTGGAAATGCGTTTCTATAGAATGACAACTCATTTATTATCCTTCGTTTTATTATGGCTTCTAATTTAGATTTATGGGGATTCAGTAATAAACTATCCTGTCAGATTATTTTTCAATAGCTAGATAAATCACGCAAGGAAAGTCCGGAAGTAAAATTTGATTTTGGTCATGAGTTATCACGCAAAATCTTCGTTTTCTTTTTTGATGATTTCATTTATGGAATGAATTTAATAGCTACCCATTTTATACGGTATAAACTGGGTTGGGGCAGTTTACGCTTTATAAACCGCGAAGCGGTTTATAAAAAAGCGTAAACTGTTCCAACCCAGTTTATAACGTATGAATTGGGTAGCTATTAAATTCATTCCTTATAAATTTAATTTTCATTCATTTGGTGTAAGAAAAAAAGATGATTGTCCTTAAATATCAGTGGCGGATTCAGGGGGGTTTAGGGGGGGGGGGTTCGGGAAACCCCCCCCCCGCCCAATCCAAAAAAAATTTTTAGAAGTGTCATTTTAACAATATCTTTCATAACTGAGACTCTATCCAAGCCCATTGTTTTACACAAAGAGGTGAAATATACAGCCACCACAAGAAATCCCTTTCCGCTTGAGCGCACACAGTATATATACACAAGTAATCAACAGTACAGAGATCATGATAGTCCGTGCAGCTAGTGATGACAGAAGGTCATGCACTAACAACCAAAACTGCACATAGTTATTACGGTATCGTATTCTTTCATGAATTTTCTTTCTTCGATAATTGAAAGTTACTTTATTGAACTACTTGAATAAACTGTGTTTATTATTATTTAGAAAAAAATTAATTAATACAATCAGGGACGTATATTTTATAGTATAAACGTCCCTGATTCAATATTTTCATGACATAACTATACTGAAAATGTAGACCCTTCGAGACTTTCAAGACTTTTTTCAAACATTCGGCTAGTAAGTGGGTTAAAAAAAAATTATAATTAAAGGGTGCATTTATGTTAAAATTATAATTACCCCCTCCCCCCCTCCATAAATAAGCAATAATTTCAGAATTTTCCCAAAATAATTTATATTTATTCTTCAATATGAAATATCATTATTTGTTTATATTGCAAATTATATGAATAGTATAGTCAAGTAGTTGAAAAGAGTAATTAGGGTTTCTACACAAAATCCAATTTTTCTAAGTGTTGGGAAATTGCACATCAGTTGTATTTTTATACTCAGAGCTTCACATGTGACACATTGGACGTGCATTTTGAAATAAAGAATGGGATATTATTTATCAAATGGCGATATTTTATCAGATTTTATATTTAATTTTTTTTTTTTTAAAAAGAATTTTTTTTCATGTTTACATGGAAGTTAAAAATAATCCCAACATTTTAATTTTTTGTTCAAATTCTTGAACATTTGGGTAGGTCGGTCTTGAAAAACTAGAAGAAAAAAAGTGACCAATCACTAACTAATTCAATCTAAAATGCTGGAAAATGCACCATTTGGAGCCATTTTTCAAGAAAATTTCTCGGGGGAGGCCCCCCGAACCCCCACCTATAGAAGGGGGACACCCCCTCCCATGCCCTCCCCCTTCGGCCCTACGGGCCTCAAACCCCCCCCCCCCCCACATGAACTTCTGGATCCGCCACTGAATATGACTTCAATTTGTACAAATTTTGAATGTAACGTCAGGCGGATCGAAACGTTTTTGACGCAAGTCATTGTGACGTAGGCAACCCATTTTATACGATATAAAGTAATTTTTTTATCCAATCAAATACAGCGTTACAACCAGAATTAAATTATATTAACTTAGACGTAAAGCTTTCTGATGTAAATCATTGTCAAAATAAATTTAAGGATGTCCAATGCTGGCATACAATTTCAATTACAGGTAAAAGGAGTTTTCATTTTAGGTGTATAAAAAGTTGTTCCAATAATGAAATCTATTTTAAAATTCAGATCGAAAACTAGGCCATCATTTGTAAAATATCCATGAAAAATAATCACATTTTAAGTAACAAGTCCCTGTATAAATATTAATCGACTATCACTTTCTGTAAATGTTTGTAAATTGAATAATCATAAAACAATCAGTCAACATTATATATATCATCTATTTACAACAAATATAACATCAATAAATAAACTTACAAATATTTTTGACGTAAAAAAGTGGGAACATCACTGAATGATTTGGTGAAATGTAAAGACAAAGAACATCGATCACTCCCAAAAGTCCATCTAAACAATACAAACCTATGAACAGAGCCAAACACGTACCTCTGAAAACAGAGGTGGGACCAGGTGCCATGTAGAAGCGAACATTCCCTGCCGACCGGCTACACCTGCCGAATATCTTAACAACAAAATAATGTTTTTTCTTTTGTGGGAGATAACGTTTGCAAAATTTTAAAAAATGCTTAAATGGCTCATGCATTTTTTGTTGCAATAATGGCGACCGTTAAATCCGGTAATTTGTTAAGTTTAACGATATCATAACCTTTGGAGATAAAAACACAGCAACTGAAATACTAGTATCGTGACTTTTCCATGGCTTAGAGATGTCTACCAAAAGATCATAATATGCTACATAAACACAACCTTAATGTAAAGATGGATTCGTTTGCTTTATCATTGAACACATTTCCTAATGTAACATAGTAATTAGATGAACAGTTTATTTCTCGAATCATTTTGCCATCAAATCGATCCCCTTCTGAATATAAAAATCCCCATGTTAAGAGAAGAAAAGAGAAGAAAATATTTCAGAGATATCTGTCTTCCCACTTGTTTTTTTTTTTTTTTTTTTTTTTGGCAAAGCCTCGGAATTATGAGATGATAAAAATTAAGGAACTAATTAAATCTGAACCAAGACTACCTGTAATAGCATACCAAAATCAAATAGATTCAAAAACCAATCAGCTTGAGTTGTCTTAAATATCCACACACATAAAACACTGAAACTTGACTTAAGAATATTTTAGAGTTGCACAAAATTTCAACTATTGCCAACTACTTAACACACTAACTATACAATCTCCCGTCCACTTTGTACAAATGTATTTCATTTTCCAATTAAGTTAAATTTGTCAGCGAATTTTTGTCTGTAACGTCAGCTGATTTTGTGAAGGTGCTGTGCTCAGCACCAAGTCACACAGATCCTTACAATCCTCTGCACTGCTGAGTGCTGTATCGTTGGAGACCTCCAGTCGGGGGCTCCTGTTCCGAGAAGTGTACGTGCACTGCGTAAAACTGGTGGTTGGTGGATCAGTATAAAGGCGTCGCCGTGGATCAACATCATCGAGCATGCAGCATCCTAATCTCATGAGAACACACCTTATTATTCGGAATCGCCTGAAAAATAAATAGATTTCTATGTATTTTTTCATATCAATTTAAAAGTCACCGACTTGTATCTAGCCTTGATTTACAAATAAACATAGAAAAATGGTGATATTTTGTCGTTTTTAATATGCATAGTGTTACTGTCGAAAGAAGACAATGTTCTACTATATCTGCTACAAGAGCTCAATATTTCAACAAAAAAAAAATACAAAAAGAACGTACATTTAATTTTTCAAGGATATAAACTGTATTCCCAAAAAATGCAAAAGGAGAAAAACTGTTCACATATAATATACATGTGTATAAGGAATTCTTACAAGATTTTAAACAAAATCCCCAAGGGCCTTAACGGTCACCTGAGTACAATACAACACCGAAAGGATCAACGGAAGTATAAAATAAAACAAAATAAACTGATCGATGAAGATATGTTGACCAAAAGCAACAGAATTTGGATGATCAGAGATAAACAAAACAGTTCGTACTCAGTAGCAATTCCTAGAGTAGATATATTCACTTGCTTGTATTTGCCAGTGCTAGAACAAACTTTTTATGCAGTCTTAACAAAACAATAGTGATTGACCCATCACATATCACATTCCCCTTCACACTGACCACTCTTGGTCTTTACATAACATTTAATGTACAAAACGATATCTATTTTTGAATCATTTTTTAATCTATTAGTTACAAGTCTATCTGACCATTTAATACTTTGAAAGTACTCTTTGTATTATATATTATTAATTCTTGTATAATTCTTTTATTCGATTGACCTACCAATTACATTGTTTACAGTGATGAATTATCATAGGTGAATAGCAAAGGGCCATGAATTTCAAATTTGGAAGAGGCACCCTTGCTCCTCATTACCTTGCAATTAGTTTGTCTGCTAAATAAAAAGGGGGATTGATTTATTAATTGTATGTTCATTTACGTCCCATTCTAGAATTTTTCACACATATAGAGGCGTATTATTATTATATACCGGTGAAAGGTTTCAAATTTAGACTTACATGTATACTCGGCACTCAGTGCCATGAAGCAACGTTTACCGTGACACGGGACCTTGGTTTTCAAGGTCTCCTTCGAATGAATTGTAACTTTTACTTCTAATGCCGGGCGCTTGGCGAAGGAACAGTCACTACCTATCTCCAGGCCTCCAAATTACAAAGCAAATGTCCTACACTAGGCTACCGTTAATAAAGGGAGAGAAAAACATTTCATTATATGATTATATTAGAGTCCCACACTAAACCCAGAATACCTGAACCTTGAGCCATGATTTTTCACAATTTTGGTAGAGGGTTTAATGCTTAATACAATCATGCCAACAGGTTGACAGCTTGATATCTAGGAGTAAAGGAGAATTTTTTTTTAGATTAACCCCACCACTCAAGCCCCAGTGGACATCAAATTCATAATTTTGGTTCCCCTTTACCCATAGATGCTCTATGCCAAAATTGGTTGAAACTGTTTCAGCGGTTCCAGAGAAGAAGCTGCAAATGCTCAAATGTTAACACACAACTGACAACGCACAACGACGGACGAAAACTGATAGCAATAGGACACTTGATTGACTCAGGTGACCTAAATAGAAAAATCAAACTTTATCCTACTAAAACAAGTAAATGTTATCTTAAAATTACTGCTGTGCAATACTCATAAATGACTTATGGCTTCGACATTTATTTTTGATAGTGTTTTATTACGTTTATACTTAATATGCTGTTTTACCTAAATTTTGTTGCAATATATACGATAAAAGAATTATGTGCATGCAAAATCCTTGTAATTATAGTACATTATTAGTGAGATTCGAGAAGGATTCCCAACACTGTTCAATAAAAACTTTTCTTCGAGAAGACAAAAACAGCAAAGAGGATCCTCGTGTGTAAGTAATTCGTTTCATAACAAGCACAATATGGTTTACGTACATAAGAATTTCCCATGCACTGTCTCATAACAAACTCAGCTTTCGAAACATTTTCACAATTGTTAACATCGTCCTGAAGAAACGTCGACAGGAGAACAAGAAGTAAAAATTATGCTCTTTACATGCATTTCTACAAATAATCCACATCTAACCACTATATTTCAGTCTATTTGCAACAGTTAACACTTTCAATAATATCTGACCAAACACTACCTTGAAAATCCAACTGAAAATGGAGGAATACGCCCAATTTCTACAGAAAAAAAATTAAAATGATACTGAAATTTGCTCAATCTTTAGATGACAAACAAAGCGAATAATTGGTTCTGATTTGATGTTTCTTATACTTGACTGAATATTATATGTTGTCATTTATCTTTTAAATTAACAAGAACCATTTTATTTATTATGTTTCTATTGCTAATTACTTCTCCAACTATTAATTACTTAATGCATCTAACACACATGTATGTTATTTAGAAAGAAAACGTTAATGTTTAGATAATACACAGATGTATTCTGTGTCATAAATGCATTACACAAATTGCTAGCAATGTATTATGAACTACTCCTATAATTCATACGTGCATTTATTTAAAAAGAATTGGAAATAAATGTAAAACATATGTCTGTGAACTGTGCAAAAACAAGTGCAAAGACAAATGCAGGGATGCATAACGTAAGAGACTTCAATTTGAAAATGTACATTATGAAATTGAAATTCCTAATGAAAATGATACTATTTCTTTATTTCTTCATTTTCTCAGCCTCAATATAGAGAGTTCAGAAATCAAATTCTAAAAAAGTGAGTCTTTTCAAGTAAGCGTAATCCAGCAAGCGAGTGTTGAAAATTGACAATGAAAGAAATTGTGATAGAAATCCATGGCTCAGAGGCAACTCTTACGGATATATTGAGAAAGAAATATATCTTTGATATTATCAGAGGAAAAGAGAAGCTTTTCTCACACGTCTTTATATTTGGTAGTCCTCTTTTGTTGTTAACAGTTGATGTACCGAATAAAAAACTTTATATCTTTGAATAAAATAAAGAAATCTGTAAGATGTATATATCTCCCTATAAATAAATACAAATAAAATTAAAACCAAAAAAAAAAATATCAGTCAAAACACTAAAGTAGGAAAAACTAAAAGCAAAAGTGAAAAAGCTGAAAGAGAATCTGAAAACATGTAGTTATTGTAGTAATTTATACCTTAGCTGTCTACAGATTCTTGTACTGAATACTCCGTATATGATAGGATTAGCAGCCGAATTCAATGGAGCCAGGCTTTGGATGAAAGAATGTAAAGCCATCGTAGATTTATTCACAGGAATTACATGGTAGACCGTAAGCAGGTTAAAAACGAAGTAGGGACTCCAACATAAAATAAACACTGCCAAGAGAAACAGAAAACTGTCAAGTTTAAGTATTTACTGTTACAAGGATTTTTTTTTCCAAAACCAATATTTTGATTAAAGAAAAAAATAACAGTAACCACAATCTTAAGTGACGTTAACATGTTTAAGTACTATAAAGTGTAAACCAGTATTTGAGAAAGAAAAATAATAAAAAGATTTACCACATTCTTTAGCTGACTTAATGTTTTTTAAGTACTAAATATTGTTGCAGTTTGATGTCTATCACTAATTTAATTCTCCGTTTGATTATACGCACAGATTCATTTTTAATTAGGATTGTCTATATATATATATATATATATATATATATATATATATATATATATATATATATATATATATATATATACCAGTGATAATTACCAAATATAATAATGAATGTCATTTTAATGGTGCGAATCTTTGCCTGTGGGATGATGCCCCTCGAACTCATCCGGGTTTCTCTTCCCCTCATTAGTTTGCTGTCTTTGTATGAGATAGGCTTTTTATCAATCTGAAATCCTAGAACGATAATAATCAAACGAATTAACCGATAAACTGGTTAGCGAGACAATTTTAGGTAAAATACTTTTAACATAAAAAGGTTTCCTGTGAATTCCTCTGCAATCTCATAAATAAAATCTCCAAGGTTTCTCTTTGATAAGATTTTAGATTATTGTGCCCTTTTTCTTGTCTTTATAATTAAAGTTTTCATGGATGGTTTATGAAGAACTGAAGTTGCATAGAATTGGATAATTGGGTAACAGACATATTACATTATGGCATAATTGATTTTTGTGTACCAATCGCACTGAAATATAAAGTTTTTTCGAAAAAGTTAGCAACATAAATACATACTATTGGTCTGCACTAAAGATTTCAAATTTAATTATTTGCCGAAATCAAAGAAGTTAACAAAATAAACTTAGCATGAAAATCTTAAGGGATTAAAACAACATTTTATGATCAGGGCACTGCGTTCGCGTTTAAGTGTATTAAATATTACTGCCAACTTGTATTTGTCTATTTATTAGATAAACTTATTCACGATTTTGCTATAAAAAGGGGATCTATTAATTGATAATTTTAGTAACATTTATCAATGGGTCTTGAGCAGTGTAACTTCATTAAAACAAACCACACATCTTTTGGTTTCAAGAGGTTACAGAGATACATGTATAATGAAATTATATATATGGAGATAACGAACAGTATTCAAGTTCAAAAGTCCATTAATCAATACAAATTTTGGAGCAGAGCAAACACGGACCTCTAAAACACCAGAGGCGGGATCAGTTGCCATGGAGGAGTGAGCATCACTTGCGGACCGGTCACACCCGCCGTGTGCTCCTTGTCATGACCGGGAAATAACGGAAAAATCAGTGTGTAAATAATGGTCTAACAATTACTATGAAAATTGTCAGTCAGCATTTGACTTAATGATAGATTGTATTTGCTGACTAGGTCATTGTATCGACCATAGAACGTACGAAATGATGACTTTAAACGAGACTGCAAATATTCTTGTTTCAACAACTTGTTTGTCAATAACTTACCTCGTTTTAGAAATCGGTCATACGTAGAGCATGCTCTTGCGTATCGAATCAACTGAGAGATATAAACCTCGTATGCAGGTGATGAAGGTATATTGCTACATAAGTAAGGGAAGTTGACGATTGAAAAGTTAAAGTCATCACGTTTATCATAAAGTTTTGTTGTTAGATTACCATTACCTCTTTTTCTAGTAAAATATCCAAATATGAAACAGATGTGTCAGCCTCCTCGGTATCTTTTATTTCAAGCTCACCGGGATATATCGTATCGATATAAGAATGGAAATAATTACTGTTAATTGACAATACGTCGTCGTCGATATATCTAAATGTCGAGTTGAAGGCAACAAGTGTTTTCTTCTTTTCAAGTATAAGGTTTTGAACAAATTCTGCTTCATATGAATACAAAAATAGGTATGCTAATAACGGGGCGCAATTGGTACCCATGGGAATTTCAATAGATTGTTGAAAGACCTGGTCTCCAAAAACCACATAGATATTCTCAATCAGAAACTTAAGCATCTTTTTAATATCAACTTCAGAGTTCTTGTGTGTACAATCAGAATGTTTTTTAACAAAATAATTTTGCATATGACCAATGACGAGGTAAGTAAATTTACGAGTTCCATTTTTATTAAAAAAAACAGCTGTCAATGATATCAAAAAGCCTGGACTTTAATTTATCGTGGGGAATTGTTGTATATAAGGTTGAAAAGTCGTTTTATGCTGTTGATTTTGGTAAAATTTTGTGATTTCAAATTTTCGGAATGTTCCTTGGAATTTTTAAGTATCCACATCTGATTTACACCACTTCTCGAATATATTGTTGCACAGTACTCCTGAAGTTTCTCCTTCACTATGTTAATAATTTAGTGAGGAGTAAAGAAAGAGGCTTGGTAGAACATTTACTGGAACCCGCTATGTATCTTTGTTTGTAAGGATTTTTATGAAAATCATTTGATTAATACAAAATGAATCACGATTAAAAAGCATAAGAATATCTAACTCTTTGAAATGAACTCCTCACTCAAATATGCAGATATTTGGATGACTCTTTTTTATCCATTTTGTTCATTTCTCTTCCTTTATATTATCTCTTTTTTTGCTAGCAAAAAGCACAAATTACTATTTTTTATCAGAGAGATGGACATGTTGCATTTATATTTCTTATATTTATGAAATAAATAAATTTTGTTTTTCTTAGGGAATACCTGATTTGGCATTAAGAGGTTTATCCGATTCATGAACTTTTTTATCTCCTCCGGATTTTGGCACTCCTCGAGTATGTAACCAGATGATGTATATCATTGCGCTATAACAGATGCCGATGATGATTGCAGGAATGAAAAAGACGACGCAGGATATCACCGTTAAATAGATCTGAAATTAAAATAAAAATTATATTAAAGATTTCAAATGATTTCTCACAATAATTATTGAAGTGTAATTTTATATAACCAAATATTCTTCTTAATTTTTTATGCTCTCTACAAGAAATGATATGAAAGTACCCACAAATCATTTAATAATAATGTAAAATGTCGGAAAGAGAGTATCCTATCACTTTGACCGACATGTTCTCTTAACTGGCAGTACAAGAATTCTGAGATTTGTATTTGTTATACATTCTTATTGTAAACTATTGAAGTAAGCGTTTTGTTTTGATGACCTGATGAAAAAATATGTTATTTTCCAAAAAGAAGATGATAGAGAAACACATTCACATTGAGTGCCTTTGACATTTTACATATAAAAGGCAGCTCTGCAGAGAGTATAGGCTATGTGCGAATGATTGTGTGAATCCTCTGATGAAGCACATTTGTGTGTTTTGTTGTCATTGTTGGGCTAATAGCTACTTTGGAATGGAATTCCTCAAGAAATTTATAGTTGCTTGGTAATGAACTCGCTGCAAAAATCATCAATCTGTAGAAATCATCCAAGCAAGGAATACAGGTCATATAAAGAAATTGATTCATGATTGACTGATTCGTATTCATCTTTGGGGTTATTATCAATGTAAATTTGATCAATGTAGAAATTATACATGAAGCAACTTGGGAATAAAGCTGCCAAAAGAAGAACCTTATTGTAAATCTGACACTAACGTAGAACTATTCAATTTCAGAATTCACTACAAACAGAAGGAAGAGTTCCAATCACAAATTTTTTTTAATTAAGAATTCAATCCCTTTGGGGACATTCGGAACCCTAAAATTCGATCTTAATTTGTTAACAAAGCCCATATGTGGGTTTATACTTTAACCTTTGCAGCCGAAACAGAAACAGAAATTCATGAAACTTACAAAAAAATGCCGATTGCATCTCGACATGTCCGGACGAAAACAAAATATAAAAGCCACATATGCTTTCTGAAGAAGGTGTGTGGGGGGGGGGGGGAGGGGGTTAGGTGGGGGTTATACGTCGTACTAGTTTTTTAGATGCTTAAGTTCTGACTTCTGAAGTTTTTATACAGATATTCTCTCCTTCGTGAAAACTATTTATTTGGAAATGGCTTGTAAGAATAATTAATCAGAATGTTTTACCTCCCATTCTTTTGGTGTCAAATTTATATAACAAGTATCCGTTTTAAATAAGACAGCAAATGGAATGGAACAGAGACAAGCCAGAATCCAGCTAACGGCAATCATCAGTCGCGGTCGTCTCCCTGTAAAAAAGGTGGAAAAGGTAGAAGTTGTTGGTTAAAGAAATTCTCATGAATTTTAATAAGTTCATTTGGCATTTCAGAAATATTTTCTTCATTTTTTTTTAAAGAATATGAAGGCAATTTATTTTAAGAAAACTCGAAAAGAAAGATTATTTTTCATGCTGCCTATGATGTTCATAAAGACATCGCTCATGTAAGCGCTTTATTAAAGTATTACCTACACATTTTACACGATTTAAAAAATATTAATTCAGAGTGAATCAGGTTATTAGATATACCCACAACTGTCACTAAACCCTAGGGGTCTGGCAATGGCATCAAGGCGATCGATACTTAATGCCACAAGGACAAATGTCGAGCCATACGTGACCGTCCCCTGAAACAAAAATGGAAAATGAGACAGAGTGACATTAAAGAAGAGCAGAGGAATAAATGTCAAAAGATGATACACGATTAAAGACAGTTGGCAATGCCATAGCTTGATTCTCGATGACAAGATAATTTATTTTTATACGATGTAGTAGTATGATGTTCCGGTTAATGTTTGAATTGAAATCGTCTTTCTGAAAGAATTCAAATTGCTTAAATTCCTTAAGAATTCCAAACATTATTGCTATAACAAGATTCGTCATGGGGTTTTATTATGTAAAATTCTTCGCTTTCTGTTTTAGAAAGGAATTAAAATTAATGATCGATGAGCAGAGAAAATTTTCATCATTTTGAACAATTTTGAAATGTAATTACCAATATAATTTAAACGCTCATGTCAATAGAATCCTTACTTGTTATAAAAAAGTGATAAGGCTATCGATCTGGATTGTTTTATCCTTACAAGTCACTGTTTTGAGTGATTTTAATCCGAGAAATGATAGCTTTTTGTATAATTAGATCAGATAAGTATACCACTCGTCAGGGGTATTAACTGGGAAACATTTATCAGGAATTTGTAACATGTTATTCGTTTGATCTTCTAAAAACACATTTTGTTAGGTTGTATTTTCTGATATCAAAAAACTTAATTCTATGATCAGGGTTGTCTCAAAGAATTGAAATAGCAGGGGCATTAAAAAGTAGAAGGGGTTTTTGGGTTCCTACACTAACAGGGGGTTGAGAGGTAATACCAGAAAACCAGGGGATTACATCATTATAGATGTAGAAATTCCCCGTCCCCTGGGTCTTAGGAACAACTCTGATGATACTTCAGTTCTATGCACAATATTTAAAGTAAGAATATGGGTGGATAAATGAATAAAAAATACTATTAAAACTAATAATCTATGAAAACGAATAACTGACTCTTGCTTCTTTATTAATTATATTTAACAAATTTCTTAAAAAGATAAAAAAAATGTGCAATTCTTTCGGCAACAAATTGAAAAGGAAAGTATATCAGTTTCCAGCTTTTATATTTGAAAAAAGAACATAAAAACATAAAAACAAAATTACCATCATAGGGATGCATAGTATATTGAAGATATGAGTAAAATAAATGGCGAGCAAATTAGATTCAGTTGTGAAAAACAATATTTTTCAGTGGTGCAAGATTACATGCACTGTTTCGGAGACTATGAAACTATTTTTAAATTTAGAAAACTTATAGCCACGGAATATAGTAGAAAATTGTACAGAAAAAAAAGCAGAGACATGATGGTATGGTCGATACAATGACCTTGTCAGCAAAGAAAACATATTATTAAGACGAATGCTGACTGACGTTTTTCATTTTTTTAATTTTTAGGCTATCGTTTAAATAGAGAATTATCTCCAGATTTTTCCGTTTCCCAATTATGACAATGAGCACACGGCAGGTGTGACCGGTCGACAGGGGATACTTACTCTTCCATGGCACCTGATCCCACCGCTGATGTTTTTTAAAGGTCTGTGTTTTCTCTGCTCCAGATTTGTATTGTTTCAGTGGACTTTTGAGCTTGATTGCTCTTCGTAATGTCCATATTTCATGATATATTATCAAAAAGTATTTGATCCCTTTGTTGATTAATATTAAAAATCAGCATACTTCATCTTGTAATCAAAATTGTTTCCTAACTCAAATAGTTGGAAAGAACTTTAAAAAGATTTCAATAAACAAATTGCGCAAACAAGATATGCTGGCAAACATGATTTTGGTTTTTCACAAAAAATTTTAGAATCCATCCTTTAATCAAATTTTAAGTTTTCTTGACATGTGTTAATTTTTATAAACTTTTCATTAAGGCTAGTCAAAAACTTAAATAGTATTAGAACTTATAATACATTACTAAAACATATATGAAATAAATCATGAAACCTATCTTATATCAGGAATTATGATATAGGTGACGCCTTATAAATATATTTTTGATATGAATTTGGGATAAATTTAACGTCCTTATCACAGCTGTCTATTGTGTAAGTTTATATGCAATCAATTAACAAACCACAGTTTCTGAAATTAACAAAACATAAGAACTTTCAATTGAATTGGCTATTGTATAACTTCATAAACCCATCGAGAATTTACTGATGTCGAAATCACGATAAATTAAATTATTGATAATCAAAAATATCAAAGATAAAATTAAAAAAAATAAACGTGACTTTTATCACAGTAACAATAATAAATCTATGAAACTAAGTTGATTTTAACTTTTAACTACTTCATTGATGCTGTGTTCATAAAAGAAACACGAACCTTACACAGCAGGTAAGTACTTTATGTCGTCCCATGATACCTTGTGTAATGTTATTTTAATTAAACAATGAAGTCAGTAAATACATAAATGAATAATTTCATGAACTTGAGCCGGATGCAATCACAAAGAAAATTCTTTAGTAGTTTGAAATAACACATCAACGGAAACTGAATTTTCTCGTACATTTCAGCACAGTCCATAAATTTTAAACTAAAATAAATTAGTAAACAGATTTGTCTCATATTAATGATAAATTAAGGGATGGGATTTTTACCATGAAGACGTTGTTGCAAATTCTCGGTAAATGTAATCAATTGATCAATTATGATTCATTAGCAAAAGAATTAATTTTTGTCAAACTTTAAACATATTTTTGAGAATGTTTAACAATTACTTCACAGTAGAATTGAGCATTTAAACATGTGTAAGATCTAAATTATTCAGTGTTTCCTAATTTAATAATTGAATAGATAAATAAAAGATGCATCTGTCACAACAGCATTAACATTTTATAACAGTCGATACATGTTCAGTAGAACATGAATGTCCCATCTCCAATTGATAAGAATTGGTTTCATATTGCTGTTCTATCGAACGGCATATTATGTTATGATGATAAAAATTTCATTTTAAAATTGTTGTTTTATTTTAATTAACAGCATTATTTACATACTGTTAATTTCATGGTTGATAGACTCTGTTACTTAAATATATTTCAACTTATAGGCACTCATGAGAAATGAAAGATCTTTGAGCCTAGAAATCTTCCGTGCTTTTTATTTTTCCTTCGAGGTTTTTTTCTAATTGGAAAATTTTACTCAGATATTTAACGTTTAACAGTCTTAAATATCTTTAATTGAACAGAATATTGGGTATAAATCTTCAAGATACAGGCACATCTGCTGTATGACTAACCATTAGACCTATTTGATCTCTGAAATCAGATAAAGGCAACGCGATTCTTAAATCCTTTATCAGACTCATGTCGTTGTTAACCAAGCAATTTTCTGGTTGCTCAATTGCTGCAGACTTTTTAAAAAATGCAATGCACGGTCTTTGACTGAAATAAGTTGTGCATATTTTAAGTCAAACTTTTCAACATATATCTCTATATTGGAAAAAATAATAATAACTCGCAGCTTAAACTGTTTTTATTGCAGGAAAATAAATATAAATTGATAGTTTGTTATCAATTCAAACATAAATTATGAATTTTGTGTCAGTTTTACATGTTTTCAATATCTGACCTTAGTTGAGGTCATGTAACAGCGGTTTGAATGTAGCAGTTAATGTGACATACTGAATGTAATTAAGAATAGGCCTGCAAGCCTTATCATTCACCTGATATTTATATATGACTTACTCCCAAAATTATATTCAGTGTTATGAAGAGTGAATTTGCTGACAATGATGAAGATAAAGTTTTTTATGCAGCCTTTGGGCTCATCTGGACATTTTAGCAACATTAAAACCAAAAGGGGCGATACAATGAAGAAATCTATATTTCACGTTGTTGATCTTATGTAACTTAGTAACTCAACCTTTCGTTTATTGAAACAAACAAATGATATATCTGAAAATGGGAGAAGCTTTGTTTCAATCTAGGTTTTTTTTCAAACTAATTTTAAACACTGTACCATATTTTCCATTGTCAGTAGGTTTAATTGTAGAAGGTGTTCGCATTTTTCTTGCCAAGAGCTTTATATAAATGACACGAACAGTTTCATGACGTGGTTAATGTGTGGAAATTTCATAATTGCAAAGTTATTTCTTTAAAAAAAATTCAAACCTTTTACAATGAAATATGATGATTAAGAACAGTAGTCAAAAGTCCATCAAAACGATGCAGATTGCAAGCAGAGCAAACAGGGGCCCCTGAAAACAAGGTTCCAAAGAGGAGTGAGAGTCAAAGTTTACCTTTTACACCCTCCGTGAGCCCTTTGTCTTGATCAGTTACATGGAGTAATTCGTAGATAATCCAGTATGAAAATAATGACTGGACAATTTGAATTAAAACGCCAGTTAACATTCGACCTAACAGCAGGTTATATTTGAGCATGACCATTGTATCGACCATACAATTTGCAAAATGTAGACTTTAAACGAGATAGTTGATACCCTTGTAGCATCAACTGATTTGTCTGTAGTATGCCTCTGTTGTTCATAAACAAAACTTGTTCTTTCATATCGATTCAACTGGGGGACATAAACACTATATTAAACTCGAAATAAAAGACACTACAGATTCTGACAGATCTTGTTTTACTAGAGGAACATAGAAGACATAGAAACAACGAAACTTTATGTTAAATGAGAATTCAACTTTTCTATCATCAACTCTATGGTGTCTACTATTTTGAGTTCAGTGCGATATGTCGAATCAATGTATGAATGATTTTAACTTTCTTCAGATTACTTAGGATGGCATTGATATGAGCCCGTCGTAGGCAACATTTGCTTCAAATAAGTGTTTTATTATCCTTGTATTACGGTAAACGTTCCATATTAAAATGTTTACTAAGCATTTTAGGTGACAAGCCCCTAAACATAAAATATTCTTTTTTAATTACAAACGATCAATGTTTATGATAACCAAAAAACCAAATTTAAAAAAAATAGACTGAAAAAAACTAACACTCACACGTTTTTCCTTTAAATAAAGTTCTTCAGATTATATCGGGTTATCATGATACACAAATTTATCAGCATTTTTTCAGCAACAGGAGTGTAGTTTATGTTAATATCAATAAATGCAACATTGCTGTATGTTTGTCAGAAAATTAAACATTTTCAGCAGTATTGTCTGATCACATTGCTTGGGATAAAACCTGTTATCTTGATAAGTGGCTTATTGTTCTTATGAAGAAGGATTTGTGTGAATGGTGATACAAACTTACTATTGTATACACCCGACACTCTAAACCAGTCTTCCTAGGCTTATAGAAGATGATTTCATATGACGAAAGATATAACCGCATTATAGACAACGCCCATCAATACTGTTCACTCTGTAGCTGTATGTTAAAAGCTTTTTCTTCAGAGATATGTGGGTTTTGTGGAAGATAGTTGCCTATAATATTAAATGCTGGACATTTTTGTCGAACAGTCCAAAAGATACTAGAGCTCGTTATCTAATTACTAAGTATAGACGATAATGAAATTATGAACACATCAAAAGTAATCTCTCTCTCTCTCTCTCTCTCTCTCTCTCTCTCTCTCTCTCTCTCTTATTTTTTTAGTTTCGTTGGAGAGAATTTTTAGTGAAATGTGAAGATAACGAACAGTGATGATTCTCAAAAATCAATTTAAACAATACAAATTATGAGCAGAGCCAACACGGACCTCTGAAATCAGAGGTAGGATCAGGTGCCTCACGACCGGTCTCATCCGCCTTGTGCTTCTTGTAATGATCGGGTAAACTGAAAAAAATCCGTCGTCAATTCAATGTGAAAATAATGGTCTAACAATTTGTATGAAAGATGTCAGTCAATACCCAACGGGGTTGTTTCAAGGAGTTGTTTATCGACCATAGATTTTGTGAAATGTTGACTTTGAACGAGATTGTTGATATCCTTGTATCAATAATTTATTTGTCAATAGCCCGTCTCTTTTTAGAAATTTTTACGTAGAACATGCTGTTGTGTATTAAATCAATAGGGGGACATTAACTCCATAGGCAGGTTATAATGAAATATTGCTGCATAAATAAGGGAAGTTGACTTTAGTCTAGTTGTCAGTTTGCAATAAGTATAGGATAATGTGGGCCGGGTGTAAAGACGAATAATGACCACATAAAAAAGGACCGGATGCCAATTCTCGACGTTAACAAAAGACCCCCAGCCTTAGAAAAATTGTACTTTTTTATAGAAAAAGAACAATAGGAGTCAGTTTTCTACCTGTGCAACCTATAAAAAAAATTAAGAAATTGACCCCCGTTGAAAAATGACCCCATCCCAACAGAGTGATACAGAGTTTTAAAGTGGTGATTGCTGACAAAGTATGGGACTCAATATTTAATCCTCTCGCGTTTTTGTGACGAACACAGGAGAAACACGCAATTAAAATGTAATATCACAGCATTACACGTGTTAAGAATATTATTTTACTATAGATATGTCACAGCTGGTGAAAAATCAAGTCTCAACCGGGACTCGAACCCAGGGCCTCTGGCGTACCGTGCCAGCGCTCTAACCACTGAGCTATTGAGACCCGATATATTGACTGACTTTCACGCACCTGTGAACCCGGTGACAGATACTTATGGCAAACTAACAACAAAACTTCATGATAAATGTGATGACTTCAACTTTTCTATCGTCAACTTCCCTTATTTATGATGCAATATACAATTATCACCTGCAAATGGAGATAATTTCTCCAAGTTGATTCAATAGGCAAGATCATGTTCTACGAACAAACAATGTCTATAACGAGCCAGGTTATTGAAAAATAAGTTGATGATACAAGGATATCAAAAGTCTCGTTTAATGTCAACATTTTGCACAATCTAGGGTCGATTCAATGACCTTGTTAGCAGATACAATCTATCGTTAAGTCGAATATTGACTGACGTTTTTCATACAAATTGTTAGGCTATTATTTTCACACTGAATCGTCTTCTAATTTGTCCGATCATGACAAGGAGCACGCAGCGAAGGGATTCTTACATGGCACCTGATCCCGCTTGTTATGTTTTAGAGGTCCGTGTTTGCTCTGCTCCCATGTAATATTCCAATAGACTTTTAAGCCTCATTAGTGCTCGTTATTTTCATACTTCACCTATTGTGCTTTCAGCACACACACATACAAAAAAATCGAACAATATAAACGTTACAGTGGCTTTTGGTTAAAAACTCTTATCTTAGTCTTTCTTTATCATCCGTTTCATATTTGAATATTTTACAGTTTATAGACGCTTATGGCCAACTAACATCTAAACTATCTGACAACTTGGAGAGGTTAAAAACTGGCTTTTCCATCGCTAACTCCTTACATGTATATAGTAATGTTCCACTATTGCCTGAATATGGTGTTTAAGTCTCCTAACTTGTTCTGGACGCTCAAGCATGCTCTTAGTATGATAAACTTTTTAACAGATTCAAGATACTGACAAATAAGATAATGTAACAAGGCTTTCAACAATCTTAATCAATAATCAAAGTCAGTATTTCGAAAACTCCTGGGCCATTATGATAACATTTTAGCTAATACATTTATTTTTCCTCCTTTTTTAAAAAAAAAATATTTTAAGATAATACATTTTGTAATCTTAGAATCTTAATGACAAATTTACAAAATCCATGAAGGCTATAACTTTCATAAATACAATCGGGATATAATACAATAATGAGTTGCCGTTGATCAATATCGATGCCCAGACAAAATATATAGTTGTTCGGAAGAATTTGACATATGTTCTGACAAATAAGACAACAGTTCTGATAAGTTAAGAGATAAGATATGATATTTTTGTGGACAAATACTGTAAGTTCTTCCTTCGGACAAATTAAATACATTAAGAAGATAGTAGATTAAAATTGTTTATGATCATAATTGTTCGGACAAACTGATTATATGCTTGGACAACTTTGTTCGAACAGATTTGATATTTCTTCTCTAAACAAGGTTCATCATTCATCTGATAAAGAAGAGCATCCAGAAAATCAAAGAAGGTACATGTTTAAAGCACAGAGATTAATTGAACTTTTGGGACGAGATATGGATATCTGTATGATCAATTTCTTTTAATGACTTTTGCGAATTTGGGGGTTTCAATGGGGTTTCAATGAAGTTTTACTTGCAGTTAAGGTTAAAATTTCTTGTATCTCCACTTTTGTTCACCACATACAATGGATAATTTATTAATGCTTGCTCTTTCGGTTTTGATAGAAAAAATATACCAAAAGTCTCTAAAACATCAACCAATTTTTTTTATTTAAATTGCAAAATTCTATTGCTATATGTCGGGAAAATACATGTAAGTACACGGTTAAAATCATGGACTTAAAAATACATGTACTTAAACACAACTTGATAGACATTATAACAACTCTCTCTCTCTCTCTCTCTCTCTCTCTCTCTCTCTCTCAAGAATACATGAGATTTAAAAAGAAATTGTTCCAAACAATGATACATGTACAATTGTCAAATTAAAGTGGAAGCTTGTCCACATAGTGTAGACTGAAATTGATAAATGTCAATTTATCATAAAAGACAGATAAATTTATTTGAAAAATTTAATTAGACCAACATATCATCCATGTATCATTATACGTATACCTCAGGCGAGCATTTTGGTCCACGGACCTTTTGATTTCCAACTCTTAATCTTGTTAACCAAAAAGAAAAATACATTTACACCCCACCAAAATCTGCAAGGGGTCATTACTCTATGGATTCCATTTTTCTTCATGTAGGGTATGCAGATTCTAGGGGTGATGCCACTTTTTTACAGGCAAAAGGGTCATTTTTCGACGTCGAATAATGACCGGAGGTCAATTTTTGACGTAGAAAAATTACCCAGTCATTTTTCGACGTCGAAAAATGATCCCGGTCATTATTCTATAGGCGTCATTATTCGTCTATATACAGGGTGTGAGGTAAAATTAGTACACACTGGCAAATAGTACTTTGATTTTTAAATAACTCACCATCCCAAATCTAACAATTTTGCACATCACCTCTCCGGCGTACCAGTGAACAGTGAACCTCTGTATGAGATCGGGCAGAACACTAAAAACACCTACCAGCAAATCTGAAAAGGGATAACAAATCATTCTTGTCAGATATCTAACTTGATGCTATTTTCATTTCGTTCTAGTTGCTAACTTGGTATTTCTATTGCAAATTACTTCTTTTACTATAATATCTTTATGTAACTCAATAATGAAACCTGTGTTTCTTTCTGTATAATGCATTAATTGAAAACACGATTCTCTAATATAATCAGAGAATTAACTTATTTAAACTATTCTCATCAGAATTGAAAGAAAAATTATCCAAATTTAGGAAATCTCATAGGCTCTAAGATCCAATAAATTTTTTTAGTTATTACACGGAGAACTGGTTGTTTTATGATATGTCATTTAAATTACTAAAAAGAGGAAGAGTCGGGTAAGCATTACTTTTGTGAAGAAGCATTCCATGCGACAAGACATAAGTGATCAATAGTTTAAAACACAAATTTATAAATTACTCTTGATACAAACTACATGTGGGTCCTTCGGATGAGACCTTAAAAACCGAGGCCCCGTGTCACGGTAGACAATAAAGAACCCTCACTGCTCAATGGCCCTGAGTGCCGAGTAAAGGTCTAAATTTGAAGCCCTTCACCGTATATGGTGACGTCACTATATGAGTGAAAATTTCTTGAACGGGACGTAAAACAACACACAATCAATCAATCAAACTACATGTATTATATAGTATGTCCCAGGATACCAAAGTCATCACTTGTTGCATCATATCTATAAAAAAAAATATGAATATCTTGGCCTTAAATCTGAGTTTGTTCAAAAAATCGTTTTCCTCCAAACTTTCTGATTTGAAACGATTCCTTGAGTTCAATGGAGTTACATGTATATTGATACGGTAGCAAATTCGAAGTCTACAAAAAAAACATTAAAATTATTCGTGATTTTCCTTTACATAGATCTGAAAATGACGTAGAACACAATGATGTAGAACGTAAATGTAGATTTCACACTCCCTGACATACTTGTTTGTATTGAGGGAAAATGGTTTAGAAATGGTAACACTTTTATATTTAATGGATCTTCTTTCGAGACAAGTAAAAGTTCATTTACCATGTGGAACAGACCAAAAACACATCAACAGGAATACAAGAGACGTATTTGAATTATTTTAAATAAAATCAATAATCAGTTTTCCGATAAATCATATCTGTCTTTCGGGTAAACATTCCTATTCGTGTTTTACGACATAAAAATAAAGAATTTATTGCAGAAAACAAACAAAGTAATAATATTGTTTATTATTATTCAATTCATCGCAATTCATTTATTCAAATAAATACAGAAATCATGTTCTCAGCATGCCAGATTTTGTGCTTCGGATTTTCTTCTCTCATTTTACCGGCAGTGTTGTAGTTCTGAATGGCTTAGTGTATCTATCGTATTGTAGATAGAAGTGGATTTCGTTGAAACCAATTTGTGTATTTTACGTTATTAGTCACTGCTTATAAAAGAATAAGTGCACAAAATATCTCTTCAAGAATCTTCAGATTTTTCGATAGTTTCTAAGAACCATTGCTCTATATCTTTACCTGCAAACGCCAGCTGCTTAATGAAGAAATTCATGCGCGACTTCCGCTTGGAGACAGCTACTGCTACTAGCACTATGCTATTTCCAATCAGTATACTTAAGAGCAGTACTATGACTAAGATTCGTTGTTCTCCCTGAAATATAAAGAGAACGTGATTAACGGAAGTGATTTTCGAATATATTAAACGTAATTAAAAAATGGTATTCTTGGCATTGCTTTAATGTTTGTCTTCAATGGAATTTTTTTTAAAGAAATTAACATCAATTTGCTTACAATTGCTTACTTACTATAAAACAAATTAAATAAATGTTTGACACTTATTATTTATTATTATTATTACATATGTGAAAGAATTGGGGACAGTCATTAATTACTCAGTATTGTAAAAGTACGTTTATTCACAAATCAAACCATGGAGATGCAATATGAAAAATAAAAAATTACAATGCATTAGTATATTATATCATAGTGTATAAAAATGGCACCAAGGGACGCCGCCACAGTCAGTAAGACTGATGGGCTTGTACTCTGAATAGTCAAGACAACTCATTCATAAGTAAATATGCACAAAAATACACTGTATATAAGTACTTCGTAAGGTTAACCTTTAAAGTACGTAAATGTACACAAAAATATAAATTTCGTGAGATTAATCTTTAAAATAATAAATTCCAGTTTTCAGATCTAGAATTATTTTACTTATTTTTATTTGTTAAAAACAACTCTTACAATATTAATTCATATAAAACATTAATATGAGAGTAAAAAAAATATCACCAATGGTGGTGTTATTACATTTTCAAGGGTATCTTTCTTATCGAGGAATGCCTACATCCTCTTTCAATATCATTGTAAAGAATCAAAGAATATGCATGAAATTATGAACAAAGTATAGATCATTCAAATGTACGTTTAGTAAAGAGATCAAACTTATGTCACAACATGGACATTGAAGAAAATCAAACAAGAAGAAAAAGATTTAAATCTTCCTACTTTTCATGAGCAGCAATTGATTGCTTTTGTTTTTTCTGAATTTACAAAGATTTTTAAGTGTTTATTCACTGCTCCAAACGCTGTTTGCTAAGAATCTGTTGAATCCTGACGTAACTGTTCTAGTATATTTATCTTGGAGGAAACGCCATTCATGCTTTGTTAATTTGCAGTAGTTTATTAACTTAAATCTGTTCGGGGTTTTAGTAGGGATTTGAAATTTTCCCCGTTTCAGTATTCAGTGTGTTGCAATGTTTTCCTCATTATTAGCAATAGTGCTCTTGTGTGCTCGGCAGGTGCATTGAACGACTTAAATTGTTTTAATATAGTATGTAAGTTTCGGTAGGTTATGCAGATCGTCTTATGTGCATTTTTATCTATATTTCACATCAGTATTAAGGGCAGTTTACAATACAGCACAAGCTGACGCCGTTTATGCTGGGATCAAAATTCAACAGAATGCGGAAACTGACGAAGTTAAAAATAATTAGATCACTTTCCTGTTTTGAGCAAAGTACATGTTATTGAAACCTGTGGTGTGAGGTGCAAGGTGCAGTATACTGAATGCTATGTATTTGACAACCTCCAATTGTAATTTTAGTAGAATATGCCTTGATCACTGTTGATGAATATAAACAGTTTTATTTCCTATCTTAAATTGTGTTATATATTACGGTCTAGTCTTGCAACAACAGAGATTTTGCACACGAGCTAGTTTCAGTGTAAAAGTATAAAATTATATTAAAAAAAGCGAGATTGGCCATTTTTACACTTTTTCACAGATTTGCCGCCACATGTGACCGGTCGTCAGGGGATGCTTACTCCTTTTGCGTACCTTATCCTTTTTTGCTCTATTCACATTCCATATCATTTACAGGATTTATGAGATTGATCACTGTTTGTTATCCCAACCTGTTTCATCTTCGTATATGCAAAGTCATGTAGAAGAAGCAAGTCTATAAATATTAATGGCAAAGCGAGGTTTAGGAACTGTTAAAACTTTACCGAAGATTTCCACACATTTTTCAGAATCTTTCATTAAGAGGGACGAGAAGTAATTTTTAAAAAATGGAACACAAAAATCCCAAGGAGTTTGTGCTTTTGTTTAGTTAGGGTAATTCAAAAATCACATATAAATACATGTATTAGATAAAACCACTTAGGTAAAAAGATGGGTAAGTGGGTTGTTTCATGATCTGTAATTTACTTTTTGTACCTGTATCTCTACTTTAGATACGTGATTGAATTCACTATGACAACTCAATGTATCTAGCCTATAGTCTTGGATTGAAAGATATATTTCTTTGATAATCCTCTACAATTCTATCTTAACCAACTTGATGCTTTGTCTTATCTTTAGATACGTATTTTCGATAAGGGAGCTTTATATAAAGGACATCGTTCGGTATGGGAAATTGCGAAAACGTGTTTTGCATCCCTGTTTGGTAGCGGATATGCCTAGTTTTTCAAAAGAACATTAAAGGACATAGGGTACTGAAAAACACATCTGTTGTAGTAATTGGTAAAACAATCTGTACAGATTTCGTTTATCCATTACGAAATTGTCCTTCATAGCCAGTCTTATTCTATGATTAAGAATAAACAAACAGATGAAGAGGGGCTTTTCTGAATGCAATTGATTTTCAATTAGGTGCTCATATACCAAACAATATTGTAAACCAATCATAAATGCATAAAATACATCAATTTCCAAATATGCTTTAATTAAATTTCAATAATAGATATGAAAGTATATATTTCAACAATAAGTATATATTAAGGGGAGATTGCAAGAATAAGGATGGCAAAGGAAAACTTGATAAATATGTGATTAAGCTTTTAAAAAAATATGTTCTATTTTTTTTTTAAGTTCTACGAGCTACGTCTTTTAAGCGATAGTCCTCCATGATCTTAAATGGCATAAAATGCCTTCTCTATCATATCTTCTTTTTTTCAATTTCTATCAATTCTTGCTGAAAAATAATTTTAGAGGGTAAGTTATTTGTAGTTGATATATTTTTAAGCCTTATTATTATGTGTATGCAGATAGGTTATCAATTTCTTCATCAAACTGTTGGGCATCATCATAAAGGCATTTAGTTTTCACACTTGCTGTGATCCCTGGTGAAATTAAGTCTTATGAAATTCTGAACAGCATGTAAATATTACCAGAAAACTAGAGTTTTTATATATTTCCTATTTATATTTCCTATTGAAATTGGATCAAGTGCTTTATGATTCAATTGTTTCAATTTCGAGGGGAGAATAATCTTGATTGATTGTATAAAATTACGTCCCATTCAAGAATTTTACCTCTTGGAGATGTCACCATGTACGGGTAAAGGGCTTCAAATTTAGACCTTTACTCGGCACTCAAAACATTTGAGCAGTGAGGGATCTTTATTGTGCCAACGCCTGTCGCGCGCGACATGGGGCCTCGGTTTTTAAGGTCTCATTCGAAACACTCGCAACCTTCATTTTAAGTGCCTAGCGCCTGACAAAGGAATAGTTGCTACCTATTTTATCCACTTGAGATTGTCGCGGCCGAGACTTGAACCCACGTCCGATCACGAAGCGAGAGTTCTGCTTTGAAAAAAGTTATTTTGCCGTCAAAGTGGGGTTATGTTTGTACCCAAATAAAAAAAACAATTAACTTTTCGACCTCGTCAATTCATTTGCATTTAAACTACCGCAAGGCTAAGTTATATCTTTATAAAGGACAACTATATAACATGTACATTAAAACAAGGTTTTTAAAGTACTCGCATGATTTTAGTTTGCAAGTATTAAAGGATGAGATGGTTTTTCTCCATTTACTGTGTTGATGTTGTCCTTTAAATCTAAAACGTATATGTGTGAGTATGTGTGTGTCTGCTTGTATTTGTAATTGTTTGTATGTGTGTTAATAAATTGCATTTACTATTAAAATGTTTCAAAATAGGGTAGTATCCACGACAATTTATAAATTTGATTAAATACAAGAAAAGTGAAAGTTAATATTCTTAGGAACAATCCCAAAACCCTTTTATATTCTTGGCCATTCATATATGCAAGGTTTTAATCTGTAATAAAAATGTCTTATTTTGTCAATTAAGATCTGAGAATAAATCGTATAATAAGCAGGAATTACTGAAATCCCAATAGTCACTAATGTTTGCAATAACAGCCGGATCATAGTTATCACAATTTTATGCAAAACAGCGAAATTGGTTTTCTGTGGCCCGGTCAGTAAGACAAAGGTCGTCACAATTTCATTTCACGAAAGACCTCTTTAATAACAGGAATCATATTTTACAAAGTGTAAAATAATTAAGAAATATTAAGTTTTGCCGACTTTATTTTTAGAGTCATACGCTGCGAAGGTGTTTAATTTCTCAAAGTTCTATACGGATAAGCAATGAACTTAATGCTTTAATTTTTTATTTAATTCACTTTGGCAACTTGCCTTCCCTTGGCTATCCCTTATTAAGCCTTAAATTTCTTTAGTAAAATAGTTTATAGAATGTTAATCATTTACGGTACCCATTTTGATGCACCAGATGCGCATTTCAACAAATTATGTCTCTTCAATGATGCTTAAGAATATCAATTTGTACATAAGTAAATATATAATATAGATCACGTTGTATTCCCGAGAATTTTATTTTCGCGTAATTATGCGTGACTGCCTGCTTTAATTCTCGCGTACATTTGTAGTACAAAAGATTATATAGAGCAATAACCAGAATTCGAGAAAATTATGTCTTGCTTAAAAATATTAAATGGCCATCTCGCGAAATTAAAGTGTCGCGAAAATTTGGTGATCTGCAATATGATAAACTAGAAACATTTGTAAAACAATGAAGTAAAACAAGATAATTGGGTTCTAAACAAAATAAAAGCATTTAATTAGGTGAAAGCAACATAACATTTTGAAATTTACTTACCCAGAATTGGGGTTCTCCATAATGTTCGTGACGTCCATGAGAATTCTCCTGAATACAGGTAATATTTTCCGCAGAAAAATTCCTAGTTGAATCACACTTAAACGTTTCTTGAATTAACCCTCCCTTCTCATCCAATAGAGTCAAGTTCGTCATTGTACTTTCCTATTGTTTTCCTTAAGTGTTTTGACACTTCACTGGCTATAAATGTTATAGATAACTATGGCCACTCCTCCGAGTCGCATAATGCTCTTCATTGAATTGGTTATTGAGTTGATTAGTTTCACAATACAACTGTATTATTCCCCAATCGCACTCTCAGATAGATGAGGTGCTTTGTTACTCTCTGTAACTGTCGCTGGTCTCCTATCTTTTGTAGTAATTAGCAGATGAACTTTCCAATTAGCCAGCCTTGATATAACCTCCAGAAAGAAGGTGTATAAAACACATTGCTCTGCGTAAACATATCCTTTTTAACGTCACCAACTTCCTGTAAAAAAATTTAATGTGAGTGCTGAGTTGTCTCATTAATTTCAATATTTAGTAAAAGGTTTTGAAGCTTTTTTGCCGAAAAATGATAGGAACAAATGCAGATAGTCACAGGAGTATCATAAATGTATAGAACTCTCCGAGGACTACAAAGAACATGCAAAGCCCATCGATAATAAACAATCATGTGCCGCCTTCGTAATAATTTAATTAAATGAACGCTTAGAACTTAAGTTTTGTGGAAGATACAAAGAGAAATTTGTTCAGATCTGTTGCATTTACGAAATCAAAACAGGATTCTTCATTGTGCTCAATTCACGGTCTGGATTAGGTAGTCACGTTACTGAGTAATAGGCAATTCATGGAAAAAGATGAACGCACAGCAGGGAGGGCGTGGTGTGATAAATTGCACAATTCAGGTTGAATTGAATTTAATGTATAACTGATGAACTTTCATCTAGAAACAAAACCACTGAAATCAGTTTGTTAAGTTTCTTCCGGAAACAATCACTTTTGTTAAAAGTTTTGTTTCTTTTTTTTTCATATTATTTTTACTTTTTAAAGAACACCTTGATTACATTTGTTAAGTAATGAAGCAAAACATATATTTTATAGGAAAATGCACTGTTGTGTGCGTTAATAAGAGTAGCTGGAACATAATGACAATGTATTGATAAATCCACATGATAAGGTAACATGCGTCGTTGAGAAGATATGCTTAACGATTTTAATAGTACGATACCCACTACTCACACTGGGTCTTGATAAGTAAATAAAGACACACAACATATGTTTCACTATTACAAAACATCTTGTTGTCCATCAATAAGTTTTATATGAGCCCTTTTAAAACAATAAGTCTAGAATGTGGGTATATGAAAAGAGCTTTTTACTACAGAAAGGATCAAAAGGTGAAGATAACAAACAGTGATCGATCTCAAAATCCTATAAAGCAGTACGAATCAGTGAAGGGCATAAAACAGGGACCCTTGAAAACTTCAGAGGTGGTTTCATGTACCTTGGAGGAGTAAGCATCCCCTGTCAACCCGGTCACACCTGCTGTTAGCGCTATGTATTGATCAGGAAGACCGGGTAATCCGTAGTCAAATTTAGAATAAAACAAAGGTCTACTAATACATGTCAGTCAAAATAAGACCCATTGATAGCTTGCATTTACAAACAAGGTCATTATAGCGACCAAAGAATATTTTCAAATGCTGATTTAAAACGAGGTTGTTGAAATCCCTGTAACATCAACTTATTTGTCATTAGCCTACTACAGTTTAAAAATTTATCATACTCGCATGTACTTGCATATCGAATGAGTTGGGTGACATAAACACCATATGTAGGTGATAGTGGAATACTACTACACAAATAAGGAAAGTTGAGGTTGGAAGGGTGAAGAAATCTCGTTTGTCATATAAGATTTTAACCGAAAAAAGAAAAGTACTCGAAGTTAAAACAAGTATTCCTTATACCCCCGCAATCAAGTTGTTAATTCTGGGATCGCAATGGTCACCAATACATTTGTCTATATTTTGAATAGCTTGGGTGAAAAAAAAATAGATTTTTAACATGATATAACGTGAGTAAATTATCTGCAATGAAAATACGCTATCTAACTAGTGAATTCCTCACAACTTCAAACAGTTTAATCTTCTTGGCAAATATCAAAAGTTTCACATATGAAATAAATCATTAATTACATCAAATAGAAATAACTGGCAAATAATGAAACTTTTATTTTTTATTAAAAATGTAAATAACTCCAGGAAAATAGTCAAACCAAGAGATCATGATTATTCTCTTTTCCACAATGTGGCTTACAAAGCAAGTCCAAGTCCAAGGCAAGCGTATAATGTAACAAATCTCAAAAACACAGAGAGACCCCAAAGAGTACATGTTTTGTTATATTTTGACGGAACAAGCATTTCCATTTCGTGTTACACCCTCTAACATTTAGTGGGATTTAGTATTTTCTTTTTACTTCAGGAATGATGCATCCAAATATATCTATTATGAAAATCAAAGTCCATTGATAATATGATACTATATTCTTTTTCGGGGGGAGGGGGGTGGGGGGCTACTTTCAAAAATATTTTCTCGTAAAAAGTCTTAAAGAAGCTGAAAAAAAGATGAAGTTACAAATACTTTAAATCGTTCAAGATAGAAGAATAATGAGGTTGTTGTCTCTTGAAACGATTACTTGTAACTGTGAGACACTTGCGATTGTTCGAGGATTCTATATCTTTATTTCATTTATTTTTCTATTTATTTACAAAAGTTGATTACGGTGCATGCCAATTTTTAACTTTATAATACTGTTAAAACAAAAAATACGGAAAATATCCGCGTTTTTCTTAGACAATCCTCGTATTCTGACGTGATGGCGACATATTTTTAGAATGGTTATCCTCACATGAAATTCAAACCGGAATTTGTTATTTTTGAAAATAATTTTAAGTTTAGAGTGGGCGGTTACAGGCCCGTAGGAAGAAAATTCAAGGGGGGGGGGGAACCAGCCATATATTTTTCAGTTGACAGTTGAGGGGGCACTACCAAATATTCCTTGACAAGCAAAAAAGAAAGAAAGAAAAAAAGGTCATCAAACGTTTTCATTGAGGGGGCACAAGCATATAGTATCTATGTTTACTATAGTAATCTATATATCGATAAAATTATTGGGGGGCCGAGCCCCCCCCCCCCCCCTCCTACGGCCATGGGTTACAACGCAAACTCCGTGATACTTCAAACCAAAATGGTTACTCGTGAAGTAACTCATAAGGGATATGCCGATTGAGTTTCTACAACTTCCAAACATTTTACGGTTAAAATAACAATTCGAATATTTTGCCAAAATGACTTTTTTGATTGCTTCATTCGTATACAATTTCTCAATTAATTTCTTCACTTAAATGCAAAAGTATAAATGTACATCGAAAACATGTTAACTGGAGAGGGAAACATCAGATACCGAAAAATTGTTATGGCCGTTTAACATAATTTGCCATATTCAGATTATGCATGCTAATTTTAGCGTTTTTCACATTCATCATAACAAAAAAGCTATTCAAACATATTAATAGGTTTGTCTCTCCTTGTTCAAGGTTGAGTACAAACATATTTTGATAAATATGTATTTTTTCGGATTGGTGTACTGTTCGAAAGTACGGAAGCCCATTTAGGACCTATCAAAAAATATTTTTGAATTCGATATAACGAATTGTTGAATTTGTTATAACGAATTTAATTCGTTATTACAATTTCTTTGAATTCGTTATAATTCAATCTGTTATAACAAATTTAATAAATTTGTGATAACGAATTCAAAAATTTGTTATAACAAATTAAATTTGTCAAAACAAATTCTAAAACTTGTTATAACGAATTAAATTCGTTAAAACGAATTCGACATATCGATATATCGAATTCATATATATTTTTCTATAGGCCCCGATTGTTGAATCTGATTAAACGAATTTAATAATTCGTTATAACAAATTTTAGAATTTGTTTAAACGAATTTAATTTGTTATTACAAATATTAGAATTCGTTGAAACGAATTTTATTCGTTAAAACAATTTTTTGACTTCGTTATCACAAATTCAATAAATTTGTTATAACAGATTAAATTCGTTATAAGGAATTCAAAGAAATCGTTATAACGAATTAAATTCGTTATAACAAATTCAACAATTCGTTATATCGAATTCAAAAATATTTTTCGATAGGTCCTAAATGGGCTTCCATACGAAAGCTTGTGCCGTGCGGAAAATTGGTTGTTAGCAAGTTGTGTAATGAAAATTTGAATATGTGCGTTTCAAGACTACACCATAGCATTCTATGGCAAATGACAAGTTCGGGAAGAATGTAGGTCCTGGAAAACTGCACAAATTCTAAAATACTCATAGAAATATTTATGAAGTTGCAAATAGATCAAATTTGATGAAAAAATGGAAGTAAAAAACATATAAGTAGTTTTGCCAATGTTTGAAGATATTGTGCCTCATTAATTGAACTACATATAGAGGCAACTATCAAGGTAGCAGACGGCAAAAAGTAATCAATGACTACAATCTTTGAATTGTTCGGGCATGTATCATGCTGCAGGGCAACTGTTCTGTATACATTAAACGATGACATGATTAGATTTCTGCGAAAAATGAATGTTCGTACCAAATGAATCCCAGGGACTATTCCGGAATGTACAGTCATGTATATGATCTACAAGATGTTATGTTCCATGTTTGACGTAAGGGTACGACATACGGCATTGCACGTTGTTTTTAGTAATATTCTGTGTCAAACCTAGAAAGACATAATGTGTTTGAAATATCGATCGAAATTTGGATGAATTGTGTTCCTTGCTTATATTGCAATTTCTAGGTCTTCACTCAATGAACACAGTATATCTTTGTATAACTCACTACTCAAGTATTTATTACTACTTAAGTATCTATTCAACTGCAGTGAAAATTTATACGTCTATAAACATGACAACTTTGGATTTTGTACAAAATGAACATAACATGTACCAGTAGAGCCATGAAGTAGTTTCGCTAGTAGCTTTTTCTTATACATTTACAAACGCATAGAATCTAATAATTCTATTTGAATTAATACAATTAGAAATTACCAATTATATATCCATTCAACCTGCCTCTTTCCTTATGCAGCTGTACTTACAACAGGTTAAACATTAGTGATCTCTTTTTTAAATTTCCAAGGATGTACGCACAGAAATAAATACTACGCAGGTGTTTTTTTGATAATATGAAAATTTTCATTTTTCTTTCTAAAACCTTTATTGCACTCCGCTGGTTATATACGCATTTAGAACATTGTCGATTCCTGGAAATGTTTTATCATGTCGAACGATCAACTACCTGATAACTGAAGGAATTCACTCTAGTGCATTCCTCGTACCTCAGTTTCAAGGTCATACATGTATGAAATATATGGAGATAACGAACAGTAGTCAAGCTCAAAAGTCCATTCTAACAATACAGATCAGGAGCAAAGCAAAAACGGACCTCTAAAAAATCAGAGTTGGGATCAGGAGCTATGGAGGAGTGAGCATCTTCTGCCGACCGGTCACACCCTCCGTGTGCTCCTTGTCATGATCGGGAAATAACAGAAAAATCCGTCGA